GTATTAGGAACCCTGCTTTCATTTAAAATCTTCTACTAGGGAAATGAGAACAAGGTAGACTTAGCTCTGAGAGCAAATGAAGAGAGTTCATTGTGTGCTGCCTGGGCAGTCCGCGCGTCTAAATATTGTGGGGAAAGCTAGGAACTGCTTGTTTGTGACTCAAACCAGCCTAAACTGGAATCATCCAGTTTGGGTTGGCCGCTTGCCATCTCCCAGAGGCTTCCTTATTCTGCCAGAGTTTCTGCCCAGACTTCTGCGCTGTGACTGGGCAGCCTGCAGGGAGGAGCAGCTGGAAGTGGCTGCCAGTTAACCCAGGTTTGTTCCTAGGGAAGAGGCATGCTGAAGACTAGAAGCTGGTGTGAATTCTCATTATTTTCAATGTCTTTCCATTATTATTATTTTTTTATCCTCACCTGAGGACATTTTTCTATTTTTGTTCAAATAGAGCGGGGGGGGAGAGAGAGAGAGAGAGAAACATCGACGTGAAAGGGACACATCGAGTGGCTGTCACCTGCATGACCCAACCAGGGCTAGGGACAAACTGCAACCGAGGTACATGCCCTTAGCGGGAACCGAGCCCAGGTCTCTCTGGACCGCAGGCCGATGCTGTCTTTCCATTGTCACTCCTTTGCTTTAACTGTAGTTTTTATCTTCTGCCTTTTAGTACCGAAGGCTTGAAAAACAGCTTCGTCCATACCACTGTTTGGGTACATCAGGACATGGTCTACATTGGGTGACAAAGAATTTGACCAAAATGTTATTTTATTAATTAATTACCAAAGTTCCCTGGGAACGTTGCTTTTAGTTCAGTTAGTCTGGAACTATGTCTCTCATATCCCTTTTCTTTCTTTACACTTGGGTTGTATTTGGTTTGATTGATAGGGGGAAGGAATGAAAATAGATTTAGAGTAATCTTGTGACCTGGTATATTGTGAATTTCAATATTTTTAAAATTTAAAACATTTTAAAATTAATTTTAGAGATAGGAAGGGAGAGAGAGAGAAAGGGAGAGAAACATCGATGTGAGAGAGAAACATCTATTGGTTGCCTCCCGAACACACCCTGACCGGAATTAAACCAAAAACCTGGGTATGTGCCCTGACTGAGAATTGAAACAGCTACATTTTGGTGTATGGCAAAGCTCCACAAACCTACTCACACTGGCCAGGGCTAATTTAAACTTGATGTAACTTTTTAAAATGTTGCTTTAAAAATTTACAAACAGTAATTCATATTAAAGTCCTAAGTAACAATTTTTAAAATTAAAAATGCTATCCCAGATTGCATTTGTTTGACTTGGAAGCAAACTAAAACAAACAAACAAACAAATAAACAAACAAACAAAAAAACAGCTCTGGCCAGTGTGTCTCTGGTTAGAAAGCCGTCCCTTAGACCAAAGGGTTTTTGGTTTGATTTCTGGTCAAGGGCACATACCTGGGTTGCAGGTTTAATACCCAGCCCTGGTCAGGGCACATGCGGGAGGCAACCAGTTGATATGTCTCTCTCACATCGGTATTTCTCTCTCTCGCTCTCTCGCTCTCTATCCCTCTCTTCCTCCCTTTCACTCTGCCTAAAAATCAATGGAAAAATATCCTCCGGTGAGGATTACAAAACAAACAATATTATGCTTCAGTTACAAATTTTTAGTTTCATGGCTACTTTGTGCACAATGAGCCTCTTACTCAGTTTACCTCTTTGAGAAATAAGGGATTTATGTGATTAAACATGGCCTAATTCCTGATCAGAGAACACGTAGAAGACACTAAAAAATATTAAATCTACAAATAAAAGAGTACATTTATTTTTTGTCTTTCTAAATGCCAGGGTTATATAGAAAATGTAAAATTCCATAGCCTTGCATATGTTTTAAACTTTTGGTATGAGATTGAAACCTCTGTTAGTATTTTTTACTTACGGTAAATGTTTACTCAACAGTTCATGTGATGTTCTTCTCTTTTATCCTTTTGGGTTGTTTTCACTTGGAGGCTTTCTGTGGTCATTCTCAGAAGCCATGGTATAATTTCACTTTGCCCTGAACAAGGGATCATCTGCCCTGGCCAATTTGGCTCAGCGGTTAGAGCGTTGGCCTGTGGTCCAGAGAGACCTGGGTTTGGTTCCCGCTAAGGTTACGTACCTTGGTTGCAGTTAGTCCCTGGCCCTGGTTGGCTGTGCGGGTGGCAGCCACTCGATGTGTCGCTTTCACATTGATGTTTCTGTCTCTCTTCCTCTCTCTCCCTCCCACTCTATCTGAACAACAACAACAAAACAAGGGATCGTCTATGCACAGAAATAAAGGATAATGTGATATTTTTATTTTAAAATAAGTTAAACATTGGCATTTTCTGAAGCTCAGAATTAGCCCAAATTTTATTACAGGTATCCTCTTCTTAATTTTTTAATTTTAAATTTGTGTCTTAGAGAGCAAATTGAGTGATTGCCTTTATAAAGGGTAGTTTTGTGATTGCTTCTCCTGTGAGAAATGGAAAGAGCACCATCTGGTAATTTATTTACTTAAATTATTAGTCATTCATTAAATTATAGGCTATTACAGTTTGCCACTAGCAATTATATAAAAGTCATGTCTATAGAACATCTTCCTAAATTCACTTTGTATGATAAGTGAACTTCCTCTTTCTCGGTAGACAATATAGTATGTATTTACCACCTCCTGCATGCTCCCCACTGGGGACCAGGCCCACAGCCTGGGCATGTGCCCTGACTGGGAATTGAACCGGTGACCTCTTGGTGCATGGTTCAGCATTCAACAAGTGAGCCACACTGGCTGGGCTGAAATGTATTTAAAAAAGAAAAATGTTTTCATTGATTTTTTTTTTTTTTTGGAGAGAGAGATAGAAACATTGATATGAGAAAGAAACATCAGCCTTGGCCGGTTTGGCTCAGCGGTTAGAACGTTGGCCTGCGGTCCACAGAGACCCGGGTTCGGTTCCCGCGAAGGGCACGTACCTCGGTTGCAGTTTGTCCCCGGCCCTGGTTGGGTCGTGCAGGTGGCAGCCACTCGATGTGTCCCTTGCACATCGATGTTTCTCTCTCTCTCTCTCTTCCTCTCTATCTGAACAAAAAATTGAAAAATGTCCTTGGGTGAGGATAAAAAAAAAAAAGAAAGAAACATCAGTCGGTTACCTCCTGCATGCCCTCTATTGGAGATCGATCCTGAAACCCAGGCATGTGCCCTGACCAGGAATCGAACCTGGGACCTCTCAGACTGTGGGAGGATGCTCAATCCTCTAAGCCACCCTGGCTGGGCATGAAATGCATTTTAAAATTAAGAGTTGATTTCTCCTAAGAATTTCAGAGTCATACTCTAAAAACTTTCCTTGATGTAGAAGAGGAGCTTAGAAATAATACACTAAAATGAGGGTAGTAAAGTATATTCCCTCGAATCAGGTGGGAAAACATACATAGCTCAATAAAATAAGGTTGGACATATTTAGAATTTTGCTTAGCTAATAACCATTGAGTTTTTCTTAATGCCATTAAGTTAAAACTTTGGTGAATTGGTGTAATCCTGAACAAGGGAAGGTGGGCTTTTTGTTTGTTTTTTAAATCATCAGCAAAGATAGATTTTAAAGTTTAAAGTGTAGTACCCTGGAACTAAGTTTCACTTTTTTTGTTAATTTCTCTGTACTTTTTATTTAAAATTTTTTTCCTTTATTGATTTTAGAGTGAGAGGGAGAGAGAGATAGAAACATCGATGAGAAAGAACATCAATTGGCCACCTCCTGGATGCCCCGCTCTGGGGATTGGGCCCACAACCTGGGCATGTGCCCTGACTGGGAATTGAACCAGCGATTGGTGCATGGGTTGACAATGCTCAACCACTGAGCCACACCAGCTGGGCTAGATATAATTTTTATAACCAAAACTGGGGACGTCTATGATTCTTTGAATGTTATTTTCAATAGTGAAAGGAGGATCAGACTACCTTGTGAATGTTCTGTGTCATATGGTGGTTATAGCCATTTGGACTATAGCTTTGTGTTTGTTTCCTCTGGAAGAAACTGTAGAGGAATTGTTGAAGCAGAAGGATTTTAGGCTGGAGTTTCTTAGTAATTTGAAGTAATTTATAAAGAAAGAAACAGCCCTGGCCGGTTTGGCTCAGCGGTTAGAGCGTCGACCTGCGGTCCTTAGAGACCCGGGTTCGGTTTCCGCTAAGGGCGCGTACCTCGGTTGCAGTTTGTCCCCGGCCCTGGTCGGTCGTGCGGGTGGCAGCCACTCTATGTGTTCCTTTCACATTGATGTTTCTCTCTCTCTCTTTGTTCCTCTCTCTCCCTCTCACTCTACCTGAACAAAAAAATGGGAAAATGTCCTCGGGTGAGGATTAAAAAAAAAAAAAAAGAAAGAAACAGGTCACTAAATAGTAGATGGCTTTAGACTTCTTTGTAGGGAGTTAAGTGTCCTTATAACCTCTTGGGTCTGGTACTTCCTTAATAGAGAGTTCATAAGTGGAAAATAGCAAACTTTTTAAAAATTCTGGATAGCAAGAAGATGAATTAGCACCAAAGTTAAATTGGAAAAAGGGAAAACCCGAAGTTCAAATTTATTTGTAGATTTGGTATAGGCTATAGAAGTTATACATAATTGGAATAAAATAACATGTTTTCACTTGACCTGCATGCTTTCTTGGTTTAAGCCTTTTGAAACATTTTAGTTCATACAAGCAATATATCTGATTTTGCATACTGTGTTCAGTTAAGGGAATGAAAAATCTCACTGTATGACAGTTTAATTTTCTCCTTAGTTTGTCCTTGAGTAAGGCATCCCATGAATGTTCTAAAGGCTGTGCTGCTACACAGAAGGATTTCTTGTTCCTTAGGCAGACATGTTTTTTTCTGCTTATTACTTTCAGGGAGCATGCATGTTTGATGCTTTTTGCTTTGAGTTACTTGAGTAGCAAGTTTTCTGAATCTTAAGAGATTGCTAAGAATATAATGACTCTGGGCCCAGACTCTTTGGAATTTATACTAATAGTACTCTGGGCTGTGCTTGCTTCAGCAGCACATATCCTAAAAATGGAATGATACAGAGAAGATTAGCATGGTCTTTATGCTAGGATGACATTCAAATACGTGAAGTGTTCCATATTTAAAAAATAAGTACATTGCCCTGGCCGGTTTGGCTCAGCAGTTAGAGCATTGGCCCGCGGACCAGAGAATCCCGGGTTTGGTTTCCGCTCAGGGCATGTACCTTGGTTGCAGTTTGTCCCGGGCCCCGATTGGGGTTGTGTAGGTAGCAACCACTTGATGTGTCTCTCTCACATAGATGTTTCTTTCTCTTCCTCCCTCTCTCCTTCCCGCTCTATCTGAAGATAAACGCAAAAATGTCCTCGGGTGAGGATAAAAATAAATAAGTAAAAAATAAATACATTAAAAATAGAAGTACTCTGGGTCAAGGTTCTTTTGGACACAGTGAGAATATGTAGAAAAATAATTTTTTCACTATGAATTTTGTACTTACCAAATCTGCCTATAGCAGAATCTGATCACATATCTGCTCCCCACCTCCAAATCTGAAAATAAAATGATAAGCAGCACTTTGCGACTAGGTCTCTGTTAGTTTATCATCTTTTTTTTTTTAAATGGTGGTAGCTTTCTAGATTTGGCGTATTTATTTATTTATTTTTGATATGTGCCCCTAGCGGGAACCGAACCCGGGACTCTCTGGTCCGCAGGCCAACGCTCCAACCGCTGAGCCAGACCGGCCAAGTCTCATCTTATCATTCTTAAAGCTAACAAGGGAATTTTAGGGCTCAATAAAGCCTACCAGAAAATAAGCCTCATAATTTTTAGTGATAGATTAGCAAGAGCATAGCCTCTTTTCATTTTTGCTGCTGTTATTAGAACAGTAGGTTTTGAAACCACCAAATTATGTTTACAAAATTTTTTTCTTTATTGATTTTAGGAAGAGAGAGGGTGAGCCAGATAGAAACATCGGTAGCCGCCTCCTGCACACCCGCTACCAGGGATTTGGCTCACAATCCGGGCATGTGCCCTGACCGGGAATTGAACCGGTGACCTCTTGGTGCATGGGTCGATGCTCAACCACTGAGCCACACTGGCTGGGCACCGAATTGTGTTTTTTAATGACAAACTAGTAAGGCTTCATTGTTTAAAATATTGTGGCAAAATCTATATATCATAAAAGTGACTATTTTAGCCGTGGCTGGTTTGGTTCAGCAGTTAGAGTGTTGGTCCAAGGACCAGTGAGTCACGGGTTTGATTCAGGTCAAGGGCACCAGTTGTGGTTCGTCCCTGGCCCTAGTTGAGGTCATTCGGGAGGCAACTAGTCATTGTGTCTCTCTCACATTAATGTTTTTCTCTCTCTCCCTGCCTCTCCCCGCCTCCCAATCTATCTGAAGATAAATGGAAAAATATCGTTGTGTAAGGATTAAAAAAAAAAGTTTTTATTGATTATATTTAGAGAGGAAGAAAGAGAGATAGAAACATCAGTGTGAGAGAGAAACAACGATCGACTGCCTTCTGCATGACCCCCACTGGGGATCTAGTCCACAATCCGGGCATGTGCCTTGACTGGGAATCAAACTGGGACCTCGCAGTTCATGGTACGACGCTCAGTCCACTGAGCTACAGTGGCCAGGCCATTTTAACTGTTTTTAAGTGTACAGTTCAGTGACATTAAGTACATTTACTTTGTTGTGTAACTATCATCACCAGCCATCTTCAGAACTTTTTCATCTTCCCAGACTGACACTCTATATTCATTAAACAACTTCCTATTCTTCTATCCCTCAGTCTATGGTAGCCATACCTTCTACTTTCTGTCTCTGTGAACTTGACTCTTCTAAATACCTCATAAATGGAGTCATACAATATTTGTCCTTTTGTGTTTGGCTTTTTTCATGTAGCATAACTTTTAAAGATTCATTCATATTGTAGCAAATGCCAGAACTTTTTTCTTTTTAAGACTGAGTGATATTCCTTCAGGTTTTGGAGGGTAAGTTTTAATTATCTAGCCAGTCATCCTGTAGATTAACTATTTCATATTCTGTTTATTTAACTTCACTCAAAGACAGTAATACATTTAAAAACATTAAGTACAGCCCAGCTGGTGTGGCTCAGTGGTTGTGTCGACCCATGCACCAAGAGGTCGCCGGTTGATTCCCAGGCAGGGCACGTGCCCAGGTTGTGGGCCAGATCCCCGGGGAGTAGGGGGGTGCATGCAGGAGGCAGCCAATTGATGTTCTCTGTCACTGATGTTTCTATCTCTCTCTCCCTCTCCCTTCCTCTCTCTCTCAAATCAATAAAAAAAAATTAAAAACAAAACATTAACTGCAGCTTTAATTGCATCCCAAAGAGTTACTTGTACTTGATCTTTTGTGAGCATTAGCCTCTTATGCTCATATTTAAGCTCCATTTTAAAGGGTTATTTTTTTGTCAAAGAAAAGATACCCTTTAAAAAGTATATGTACCCCCATGTTCATAGCAGAACTATTTACAATAGCTAAGATCTGGAAACAGCCCAAGTGTCCATCAGTAGACGAATGGATAAAAAACTGTGGTACATATACACAATGGAGTACTATGCAGCAGTAAGAAAGGAAGATCTCTTATCCTTTGAGACGACATGGAGGGACCTGGAAAGTATTATCCTAAGTGAAATAAGCCAAGCAGAAAAAGACAAACACCACATGATCTCACTTATATATGGAATATAATGAACATAACAGTCTGAGGAATACAGTAGACCCAGAAACATGGAAGTAGGGCACAGACTGACATCCCTCAGAAGAGAGTGTGGGGGTGGGGGGAGATAAACCACAGAACTTATATGCATGTATGCATGACCAATGGACATGGACAACTAAGCCGGGGACGGGGCGGGGGTGGGGTGGGGAGGTGGGTGCCAGTGGGGTAAAAAAGATAAAATATCTGCAACAAAAAAATAAATTAAAAAAAAAAGTCTTCAATAATTTTATTTATTTTTTCATTTGTGTAAACTATTGGACTTGAGAATAGGAAGAGAAATAGAACCAACTATTTTAATTATTGTGGTTCAATTTATCACCACTTTAGTGACCATGAACAATAAACCTATTTTCTCTTCATCTTACCTACCTATAAAGTAGAGCCAGTACCTGTCTAAAATTTAGACATGCTTGATAATTACACATGCTCATAGGGGAAAGCTAGATGGAAACTAGAAGTCAAGAAAAATTAGTGGTTTTTTTTTTTTGATTGGGAGGGAGTGAGAAAGAGAGAGAAACATTGATGTAAAAGAGACACATCAATTGGTTGCCTACTGAATGGCCCCAACCAGAGCTGGAAATTGAACCCATAACTGAGGTACATGCTGTTGACTGGGAATTGAACCTGCAACTTTTTGGTCCCTGGGCTGATGCTCTAACTTTTAGGGCAAAAGTTAATTTCTGAAGTTTAGATTTGCTACTGTACTTAGAAATCCTTTTTAGAAATCAATTATTAATTTTGTATATCAGCAATAAAAGCTGATGACAATAAAAAGAAAAAAAATTATTACTGATGGATTATGGTTCTTTTTTCTGCCTCTACCCTTGTCTAATAAGAGAAAGCTTTTCTATTTTGTCAGTTTCACTCTGTTAATTCAGTTAACCATTATTATTATGATGATTTTTAAGATAATTGACTTTTAGAAAGAGAGAGAGAAACATCGATTGGCTTCCTCCTATGTGACCCCTAAAGGGGATAGAACCTGAAACCTGAGCATGTGCCCTGACTGGGAATCGAACCTTTCAATGCACAGGACTGGCGATACCCAGCCAACTGAGCTGCACTAGCCAGGGCCATTTTTTTAAAAAAAAATCAGCTCTTTTTTCCCCATTAGAAGTCTTTGTAGTTTCTAATGATAGAAGAAATCTCTGAACCAGAATAAAATAGAAGTTAAAATATTGGTTCTATAATAATGCATTTGTTGTGTTTAATATATTAATGTAGGTTTTTTGAATAAGTATACTAAATTTGGAGAATTTAGACACCTTTTCATTAACTTTGGCGCTAAAGAGTTAATTTGTCATTTATACACTTAAGTCCTATAGTGCTTTCCTATTTCTTTTGGAATAGTTGCAGAATCACCAATTAAAGGTGACTCATTTCTGAGAAACTAAGATGAATGGGGTTGAGAGACCCTTTCATTCAGCAGAATCTTAGTGACAAGAAAGTAGTAGGTAGCCTTTTACATTGACTGAATTGGAATCTCTCACCTTCTTCTGAGAAACAAAGAAAAGAATTGCTCATTTTATATTTTACTTTTTAGGTCATCTTTGTCTATGTGTTAAAATAACATAAAATTTACCATTTTAACCATTTTTAAGTATACAGTTAAGTGACTTTAAGTATATTCACATTATTGTGCAACCATTACTACCATCCATCTCCAGAACCTTTTCATCTTTCTTTTTTTTGGTACGTGCCCCTAGCGGGAACCGAACCCAGGACTCTGTGGCCCACAGGCCGATGCTCCAGACCGTCCAGAGTGAACCTTTTCATCTTTCCAAACTGACACTCTCTCTGTATCCAGCCTTCATTCTCCTCCCCAAAGCCCTGGCAGCCAGCATTCAACTTTCTGCTTCTATGATTTGACTACTCTACTTACCTCATAAATTGAATCATGCAGTATTTATCCTCTTATGATTGGCTTATTTCACTTAGCATAATGTACTCAAGATTCATCCAAGTTGTAACATATGTCAGCATTTTCTTCTTTTCAAGGCTGAGTAATATTTTACTGTATGTTAATATTTTTTCCATTGATTTTTAGAGAGAGTGGAAAGGGGAAGGGTGGGAGACATCGATGTGAGAGAGACACATCGATTGGTTGCCTCCTACATGCGTCCCCAACAAGGGTCAGGGATCGAACCTGCAACCCAGGTACATGAACTTGTCTAGGAATAAAACCCATGACCCTTCAGTATGCGGCTGATGCTCTAACCACCTGCCAGGGCTCGATGCCACATTTTGTTTATGCAGTTATCTGCTGATGGACCACTTAGGTTGCTTCTACCTTTTGGCTATTAAACATGCTATAAGTGTGGGTGTACAGCTGTCTATTTGAGTTCCTTCTTTCAGTTCTTTTTGTTATGAACTCAGAAATAGA